GCATCGTCATAGCATCGTCATCATCATTATCAAAATAATCATCCCTGTTCGTTATCATCATAAATCGTCATCACCATCCTAATCAACATAAGCATCATTATTGTGGTCACCATCACCATCAGCATCACCATCATCATCGTCATCATCATCATCAGGTTCATTACCATCATCAGTAGCATCATCATCGACACCGTCATCATCAGCATCACCATCATCACCACCATCATCATCCGCATCATCATCATCAACATCATCATCATCATCATCATCATCATCATCATCATCGTCTTCATCGTCATCGTAACCATGATCATTAACATCATCATCAGCATCATCAGCAACATCATCATCATTATTATTATTACCCACGTCAACATCACCATCCCTATCATCACCATCACATTCATCATCATCAGCATCATCAGCATCGCAATCGTAATCATCATAACTTGCAGCAGCATCATCAGCGCCATCATCATCATCATCATCATCGTCATCATCGTCGTCATCATAATCATCATCATTACCGTCGACGTCAGCATCAACATCATCAGCTTCACCATCATCATCATCACCATCATCACAAGATCCGTCATCATAATAAATATCATCAGCAGCATCATCATCGTCATCGTCATAGGCATAGTCATAGGCATCGCCATCGTAATCGTCGTCGCTATCCGCATCAGCAGCAGCATCAGCCTCATCATCAGCATCATCATCGTAATTGGCATCGTCACCGTCATTATTATCGCTATCCTCATCATCATCCTCATCCTCATCATCATCGACATCACAATCAACAGCAGCAGCATCAGCCTCATCATCAGCATCATCATCATCACCATCATCATCGGGGCGGGAGTTGTAGCCCTTCGATCCAGACCTTCTGGGGCGGGCGTTCGGGCAGGTATCCCTTGGGCCGACATGCGGGCCGTTATTCCAATCCTGCAGTGGGGGCTGATTGCACCTTGATCGACGTCGTCGACGCTCTGGCTACAAGGCGGACTTGGAGACTGGCAGCCAAGCCATCTGTAGGGGATGCGTCTCCCGAAAGTAAGCATAATCTAGCAGGGCGGAGACATTTCCGCCCGTCATGACTCCCGTTGCACCCGCAGGATGCCCGGACACAGTGGCAAACCCCTAATAAACGATTATGTGCTGTAGTGGATCGGAGGTTGGGAGGTGAGATCGCAGAGGAACGGAGACCCCCAACGGGGAAATCGTTCCGTTTCGTCCGCGTCGTGCGTGCGGGCGAGGCGAAGCTGCGTGGGCGCGCGAGAGGAAGGATCCCGCCGCTGCTAGGGCGAAGTCAAAACAAATGATTATCCCCCGTCCGTCCGTCCGTCCGGCGGTGGCCCTAGCGGTGTCCCGCGGTGTCCCATGGTTTCCCGTGGTGTCCCGTGGTGTCCGCTACTGCTAGGGCGAAGTCAAAACAAATGATTCTCCCAGGTCCGTCCATCCGTCCGGCGGTGGCCCGCGGTGTCCCGCGGTGTCCCGTGGTGTCCCATGGTGACCCGTGGTGTCCCGTGGTGTCCGCCACTGCTAGGGCGAACTCGAAACAAATGATTATCCCCCGTCCGTCCGCGCGTTCCGCGGTGGCCCTAGCGGTGTCCCGCGGTGTCCCGTGGGGTCCCGTGGTGTCCCGTGGTGTCCGCCGTTGCTACGGTGAAATCAAGACAAATGATTTTCCCCCGTCCGTCTGTCCGTCCGGCGGTGGCCCGGGGTGTCCCGCGGTGTCCCGTGGTGTCCCGTGGTGTCCCGTGGTGTTCGCCGTTGCTAGGGTGATGTCCAGACAAATGATTATCCCCTGTCCGTCCGACCGTCCGGCGGTGGCTCGCGGTGTCCCGCGGTGTCCCGCGGTGTCCCGTGGAGTCCCGTGGTGTCCCGTGGTGTCCCGTTGAGTGAGATCGATAGTGAGATCGATAGTGAGATCGATAGTGAGATCGATAGTGAGACCGACAGGTGTCCCATGGTGTCCCGTGGTGTCCCGTTGAGTGAGATCGATAATGAAATCGATAATGATATCGATACTGACATCAATGTGGTGCCCCGAGGTGTCCCGTGGTGTCCCAAAAAGTGAGACCGATAGTGGAATCGATAGTGAGATCGACAGGTGTCCCGTGGTGTCCCGTGGTGTCCCGTTGAAGGAGATCGATAGTGAGACCGAGGGTGATATAAATTGTGAGATCGATGTGGTATCCATGGTGTCCCGTGGTGTCCCGTGGTGTCCCGTTGAGTGAGATCGATAGTGAGACCGATGGTGACATAGGTAGACAGATTGATGTGGTGTCCCGTGGTGTCCCCTGGTGTCCCGTTGGGTGAGGTCGATAGTGAGGTCGATGGTGACATGGAAAGAAAGATCGATGTGGTGTCCCGTGGTGTCCCCTGGTGGCCCGTGGTGGCCCGTGGTGTCCCGTTGAGTGAGATCGATAGTGAGATCGATAGTGAAACCGATAGTGAGATCGAGAGGTGTCCCGCGGTGTCCCGTGGTGTCCCATGGTGGCCCGTGGTGTCCCGTTGAATGAGATCGATCGTGAGACCGATCGGTAGATCGACAGGTGTCCCGTGGTGTCCCGTGGTGTCCCGTGGTGGCCCGTGGTGTCCCCTGGTGTCCCGTCGAATGAGGTCGATAGCGAGATCGATAGTGAGATCGACAAGTGTCCCGTGGTGTCCCGTGGTGTCCCGTTGAATGAGATCGATAGTGGATCGATTGAATCAGATGTTGGTTCCCCCCTCTCCCCCCCCACAACCTCCTTATCACCCGAGAGTTGGTCGTATAGGTACGTGTGTGCTCACGCGAAGTCTTCCCAACGCATGTTTCACATCCTCACTTCATGTTCAGACCTCCGAATGCATGTATACGGAGTCCAGGGCTGGATTCCAATCAGCGATGAACAGGACCTTGTCGTGTGAAGGTCTCGTGGCTTTAACAAGGAAGCTGGTTGTCTCTGCAACTGGGCTATGAAGCATCGTCAGAGCTCCGTGGCTTGTACCCCCGACTTCGACTGGCTAAGTCGGGCGAGCCCGGAGTCCAACCGAGTGCTGTCGAGCGACGGGGGGAGGCGCGTTGACGGATGCAGCGCTTCGGCCTCCATCCTGCCCTGTGGGTGGTAAACTGACGGATCCGAATTGTGGCTGATGCTGTTATGTCACCTTCGCATGCTGGCCAACATTGCATGTCGACGTGAATGCGCAAGCATACACAATCATTTTTCTGGCGTGGGCAATATCACTGAAACTTCGCACAACGCTCAGCAACACAGCGTGCCTTGTTCCACCCTTTGGTGCTGCTGCTTCTGAGGTGTTCCAGGGAGCGGTGGGCGGGAAGAGCACCCCCTCCGCGCGCGCGCGCCGAGCTTGGAGCCGCCAGCCATGTCCGCCCAGCCGCCGAGGATCAAGCGCTCCGCGGTGTCGTATCTGTCGCCTTCGGCCATCGTGGGGAAGACGCGCATTCCGAACGTCCAGCAACATCCTCTGACTGCGCTCCGGTAGAGCTCCACGGCGGGGCCTGCAAGACGCGCCGCAGCAACCGGAGGTACCTCGCCTCGGTCATCCTGCGGGTTGTGAACGGGTTGGCCTCTTGGGGCGGCCACAGAGGCACACCGCCTGGCAGGAGAAAGGGCGGCAACGCGCCCGCCGACCCTGCAACCCTGCGGGCGACGCGCAGGAGCAGTCCCCCGACGTCCGCCCCCGAGAGGCCCATCCGGGGAGCCCTGCATCCGCCTGGCCGCCGAAGGATCTTGACGCGCCGCCTACCCAGCGACGCAAGGCCCTGGAACCCATGGGAGGTGAGGCCCGTGATGGCGGTGCGCTGCATGTGCCCGAAGCGCACGACGCCCAGCATGCCCATCACCGCCACCAGAGCGCGGACGAAGATGTTCGAGGAGACGACCAGGGCCTCAGAGTGCAACCACTCATGGGAACTGCGGGGGCAGAAACATGGGTGGAGGGCACGCGACCCTGGTGGACCACGTCGCGATCCTGCACAGGAAAGAGATAGCCGAGCAATGAAACAAGCCGAGTCGCTGTCTTCAGCGCCCCTGAAGCCGAAGTAGGTCCACGCGCGCAAAGCACGCAACAAGCGCGCGAACTGCAGCACCGTGGGCGCGTACTCGTCCACCCCCTCAGCCCGAGCGTAAACGCCCCAGCGCTTCAGGAACCCGAGGCCCGGCGACAACGAGGTCGTCAGGACCTCGTTAATTATCTCTCCCAGGAACAACTAACACTTGAAAAACTGGTCCTCGTCAGAGAGTTCGCGGTAGTCAGACCACCTCGCGCCGCGCACGCCCGTGGCCACAAAGTGCTCCCAGCTAACAGCCGCGAATGTCTGCACCTTCGTGGCCTCCTGCGCGTCCTCGGGCGGCACGACCTCGGTGGCTTGCCCGCGTCGCCGACCCGGTAGACGTTCGGAATGCCGTGATGGTGCATCCTGAGCCGCAGGAGCCTGCGGCCAAAGAGATGGGAACGCAACTGGCAGGGGAGCTTGCGGCGAGAGCGGCGCACGCGCACGCGTCGCGCGAAGCAGCTCAGCCTGGGCCCAGAGGTGCTCAGCACTCTCTGCCACGCCCGCTTCCACTGCCGACGAAAGGAAGGTGAGGAACTGCTGCCCCATCATCGGCAATGTTGGCCACCTCTATCATGGGGGCGAAATGCTATGCCACCGTAACCCGCAGTACCACCACGTGCGAGCCTAGCAGACTACGCAAACGACCAGGATTAGCCATGGTTCAACCCCCCCCAGGCCGGTGCAACGCGTGGGGCGGTACAGTAGCCGGCTAAAACAAAAACGCAACCAGCCTGAGGGCGGCTCGCGGGGCGCACACTGACCCCCTCCTCTTCCCAGCCCCCCCAAACCAACAGACGAACAGACCGGTACTGTGGCGAGGGGGGCTTCGGCCTCAAACGGAGACGTTGCGGCTCCAGCGGAGACTTTGCATATAAGTGCCCACCCCAGCACGTGCATAGAAGTGTCCACCCTGGGGCCCCTTACTCTTCACATTCTCCAGCTCGTCCCCCCTGTGCACGCCGTACTCCCCCCTACACTTCCTGCACTCTCCGCATGCCCTAGCCTACCAAGAGGCGACGCGAGTCATCAGCTCCTTCTATCCTTCCCTCTGTCTCGCCATCCTCCCTCTCCTCCTCGATCCCCATCCGCCCTGCTGCTCCTGCTCCTGCTTCTCCTCGTCGTCGACATGCCCCTCTTCCAGCCCCTCGCTGCCCCGCATTCCACTCCGCTCGCCCGCTCTCCGCGCCCCCCCCTCTCTGCAAGGGATGCGCTTCGGACTCCTGAGCGCCTCGGCAGCCAGTAGGAGGTGCGCAGGGCGTTCTTCATGGGGTTCGCCATCTCCCGGAGCCCCTCGGGCGAGACGATGCCGATGTCGGCGGCCGCGGCCTCGACGGAGGCGGCCCGCAGCCTCTCCAGGAGGCCGGGCTCCAGGCCCTCCAGGCACCGCTGCCCGCGCCCGTCGATGAGGTACATGAAGCCCCTGCCGGGGTCGAACTCCGTGGGGTCTGCGCTCCGCTCGACCACCGTGACGCTCCAGCCGCGCCCCTCCAGCAGCAGCGCCGCCGCGAGGCCCGCGGGGCCCGCGCCCACGACGACCGCGGCCTCCCGCCGCGGTCGCCCGGCCCTCCGAGGGTCTGGGCGGGGCGCAGGCACGGCCCAGGGAGGGCCCAGGCCCCAAGACCAGCTGGCCGTGAGGGGCAGAGGGGGGCAGGGCCTAGGAGGGGCCCGAGACGCACACAACCGAGCGGAGCCTGCCCACGCAAAGAATCAGAACACCACAACCGAATCAGGCAGATGGCTTGTTTGACTTGTTCTGCCTCTGGAAGGGGGCGCAAGGAAGACACGTGGCCGTGATGGACCCGTGGCCATGGCCAGGCCAGCGCCTCCCAAAATGTAGACGTCGAGGCCGAAGCTGCCTCATCCATCATCCCGACCGCCCGTTGCCGCTCAATAGGCCAGGGCCCGCTCGACCCCCCCCCCTCCTGGGCCCCCATGAATGGCCTCAGGTCGGGCCTGCCCCCCTTCAGGGGGATTTTGGGCGAGAAATTAGAAATACTCCAAAAATACCAAGGGAATGCTCAAAAATAGTCCAAAAATCCTCCCCTGACTATTTTTTTCTGTTCTTGAACCTCCCTCCTGTGGAGGGACAAGCCCGACTTAAGAATGGCCCTCCTTCGGAGGCCAGGCGGCCGCTGGGCGGCCTTCTCCGCGGGGCTCTCCCGGGACACCGCCGCCGCGCCGCGGGGCAGCTCGCGCCCGCGGCCCGCGCGCCGCCCGGCGCGCCCGGCCAACGCCGCAGCCGCCGCCACTCCCGCCCGCGCCCAGCCAGCGGCCGCCGCGCGCGCTCGGGCGCCGCCGCCCCGCCGCCTCCCCGGCGCGGGTGCACCTCGAGGGGCCCGGGGGCACACGAAGGAGCAGGCACGAGTCCGCCCCCATGGGGGAACCAAAAGGTACGCATGCCGCTACCGCTACTCCCCGGACCTCTCCAGGGGCGCGTTCCTGACCAGAACTTCGGGGCGACTCCGGCGGTGGCAGCAAGGGCCCCAAGAGCCCGCCCCAGGAGGAGAAAACGAGGGAAGGGAGTAGCTGTATGGGTACGGCAGGTCCGTGCCGTGTCGACCCTGGCGCTGGTTCCTGACACCGCAGGGATCGTTCAACCTTGAACGATCGGCCGCTGCCGCAACGTCCGATCGTTCAACATCGATCGATTCTGGGCCGCCGGCGGCGTTCAACCTTGAACGCCCGCGCTGGGGTCGCCGCTGGTCGACACGACGCAAACCTACCGACTCCGGCGGTGGCAACAAGGGCCCCAAGAGCCCGCCCCAGGAGGAGAAAACGAGGGGCCTCCTCCTCCTCTCCTCCTCCTCCCTGTCCTCCTCCTCCTCCTCCTCCTCCTCCTCCTCCTCCTCCTCCTCCTCCTCCTCCTCCTCCTCCTCCTCCTCCTGCTCTTCCTCCTCCTCCTCCTCCTCCCCGCCTATGGGTACCTCTGCCTCCTCTGAGCCTCCCTGGCGCGGGCGCACCGCGCCGCACGGCGCCCCGCGGCTCCGGGCGCCGCAGGGCGGGCCGCGGCGCGGCCGCGGGGCCGCCGACGGCCGGCGGCAGCATGGCTCGGCGGGCCCCTGCGGGCACCCCGCGGGGGAGGCGGCCTCTCGGGCGCCTGCCTTCGGGGCGGCGCTGCGGGGTGCGCCGGGGCCCTCTCTCGCTGCCCATTCAAGCAGTTGCGCCTGGAAAACAGGTCGATCTTCAGACATCTGCTCTGGGTGGGGGTCGAGGCCTGATGCTTCAAACCACCTCTCTCGTCAGATCCCGCTGCGAGCCAGCAGGGCTGTTGCGCAGTCCGTCGCGCCAGCACGGGGGCGCGGCCTTTGGCGATAGCCAGACACCTGAATTCATGGAGGCCGCCGGGGGGCGGAGGACGGGCGGTGATCCGACCTGTGCGGCGGCCGCGTCTCCCGCGGTACGGGGGCGGGGAAGCCCCCTCTGGGTGGCAAGATCCGAACCCTATACCCCCCATGCATCATCGGTTCTCCTGAATCGACAGGCGGGGGTAGGCTTCGGACTTCGCCTGGTGTTCGACGGATTCCGAACCCTACCCCCGCCGCCCATCGAGTTGCCTGAATCGTTGATCGTCGGATGTCGCCGCCGACCCTCAGAGTTGGTGCCGCTTCGCCATCCGTGGCGGCCCCAGGGGCATGCAGGCAGCTGGAGCCCGAAGGGGCCCTGCAGCTCGCGGCGCGGGAGCCCCGAGTGGCGTTCCCGAGCGGTCTCCCGCGGCCCAAGCCCTGCCCTGCAGTGACCCCATGGACACCATTCCGCACTCAGGGCCACTGCTGCGCTGCATATCCTCATCCAGGCATCCTAGAGCTGGACAGGGAGAGGACAAGTGGACGCGCAGCCGGCGAGACAGCCCGTCCATCCCAGACCCAAATAGCCCACTTCACGCCTCCGCTTTCCCTCGCTGGTGAAGGGCGGGAGCGGTCCGCGGGATCCGCGAATCATCTCCACCCGCATACCTGGGGAGGGGGACGGACGAAGGGCCCCAGGTTTTGAGGCGGAGGTGGTCGTGAGGGAGTGGTGCCTGCTCCGGCTCGAGATATTATGCGCGGGCGGCAGCCAGCAGACGTGAAAGTGTCTTTGCAGAGGATAGCTGGGCGCGGGAGCCACCGCACGTCCGCCAGCGGAGCCGCGACGCAATCGGAGGCCTTGCGCAGAATGCCGACGAAATGCTCCCCCTCCCCTTCCCCCTGCTCCTCCGCTTCCCTCTCACACACACACACACACACACACACACACACACACACACACAACACACACAATTCCCTCCACACCTTCCGCCCTGCATCCGTCCCTTCCTCCCTCCTCTATCCTCCTCTAGTCACCTCTTTTCTTATTGCTCATCCGTCCTCCCATATTCCTCCCCTGTCTTCAATCTTCCCTCCTCTGCCCTCCACCTCCGGGCTTCTCCTCCTCCTCCTCCTCCTGCGGCGATGCTGCCACTGGCCGCGCCGCGGCCGGTCACGCCGGTTATCTACCCTTCAGACTCTGCACCAAGCATGCGTTGCACTGGTACCAACCACAAGAGTCGCAAGCCATGACCTCGGTTGGCCGGGGCGGGCCGGGCGGAGAACGGAGGGAGGAGGGGAGGGATGGAGGAATTGAGGAGAAGAGGAAAGAGAAGGACGAGGGAAAAAGGGTAAGAGCACAGACGAGGAAGGTGTTTGGGAGAAAACTCTACCAATGAGGCTACTCACTCACGAATCGCTGGCATGGTGGCACTTAAACGTTTACCGCGAAGGCGTCTGAGTCGTGGGAGCTGTCATCCTCGGAGCGCGAGGATGCGCACTTCATTGATGCGGGCATCGAACTCGTAGAATGCGAACTCGCAGTGGACGACGAAATCACGGATGACATCTTGATCTCGCGTGTAACGAAGGAGCGAGACGAGGGCGGCCTCGTCGAATGCTACATCTGGACGGGATAAGGCGATGTCGAAGAATGCCTCCCACGAGCGACGAACAGACTCACATCCCCGCCTTCGCGGCACACGGGATTCCAGGAATGCGTTCCGCCCGGGACATGTCCGCAAAGCCGCCGCGTATTTGTGGGGCCGGGGCAGCGAAGCGTCCAGACCGCGATGCGGTAAACCCGCCACTGCGACGTGTGAGCTTTAAAGAACCTGGGCTGAAGCTACGCGTCAGCCTGAGCTTTCGCTCTGCTGACGGGGGGGGGTTCTATAGGGGGAGCGGGGGGGGCCAAGCACCGGCACTCGGAATCTGCAGTTTTTGCAGAGGGGCCCTCTGTAGATGGCGCTGGAGGGGCGGCGGCCTCCTCGGCTGGATGAGATGGACCTTGTACGTGAAGGCCCTCCATAGATGGGCTGGATTCCTGCCGGGGGTTGTAGATTGTATAGAAGGACGCTCTGTGGATGCCGGAGAATGCCCCCCTGGGTTGGATGCGCAGCATATTCTTTTGTTTTCTGCACAGACAGAGGCGCTACCTACACCGCAGCGCAATCTCGGGCGCATGCTTGCGAGCGCGGAGGTCGCGCCTTCCCGTCAGGGCGGTGTCGCGACAACCCCATGTTCATCATATGTGGCAGAGACCTCGACTGCCTCACGCACGAGCACGCCCCTTCGCTGCGTCATGGAACTCCTTCGCCTTCTTGTACAAAGGCGTCCCTTTCTCAAAGCTCGCGCTGCCTGGCAAGCCTACGTCAGCCCAAGCCTTCGCGACGCTGTCCTTCCACGATTGAATATAATTCGCCTTATCCAGACCAGCTGCTTTCGCTTTCAAATTTTTCGGCCGGATCTTCCAGAGCTGTTTTACTGTTTCACCAGGGCTCCGCAACACCCTCGACACGTCCTTCCTCTGCAAAGCCTGCTCGGCGACACCCGCTGCAGCTATACATCGTTCTAGGTGCTCCACGCTTGCAAGAGCACTGTGACCCACTCGATTCCACTCTGCTTCAGGCTTCCCCTCCCCGTCGTCACACCCGCAACAAACACAATGTAATGCTTATGTACCGTGACAATGCCTTCTCAGCCTCGCTTGCGCGCTGTAGCCCAGTATGTTTGCAACGATACGCAATACTTCCAAGTGCCCTGCGAGAGAGGCACGCAGATGCGCTTTCAACTCATTTACGGGCTTGGTCAGTGCAGCCTTCTCGGTCACTACGTGCGGCCTCCGAGTCGCAGCTGGGTCGCCCTCGGTCTCTGCATCCTCCTCTATCGCGGTGTTGCTGGAGGCTGCTGAGGCCTTTCGTTTCGCGGGCGCCTTCCCATTCTTCACGGCCATGGAAATCATGATTTCAAAACTAAAGTTTAGAAAAAAAGTTCGGACCTCGATAGCTACAGGCCCTCAACACTTATCCTGCCTCTTCCTCCATCTCCTCTTCCTCCGAATCATCGTCACCACCATCCTCGTCCTCATCATCCTCCTTACGACTACCGACGCCACAATCAATATGATATGCATCCCCCTGGTCACCGCGATCCTCCCCATCCTCTCCTCCTCCTCCTGATTTTCCCTTCCTCATCCTCATCCTCATCCTCATCCTCATCATCATCATCATCATCATCATCAGCATCATCAGCATCATCATCATCATCATCATCATCATCATCATCATCATCATCATCAGCATCATCATCATCATCATCATCATCATCATCATCATCATCATCATCATCATCATCATCATCATCATCATCATCATCTCCATCTCCATCTTCATCTTCATCTTCATCTTCATTTTCATCCTCATCATTGTCATCATCATCATCATCATCATCACCACCACCACCACGATCATCATCATCATCATCAGCAGCATCAGCATCATCATCATCATCATCATCATCATCATCATCATCGTCATCATCATCATCATCATAATCATCATCAGCAGCATCATCATCATCATCGTCATCGTCATCGTCATCGTCAGAGTCATCGTCATCATCATCAGCATCATCATCATCATCATCATCAGCATCATCATCATCATCTTCATCAGCATCATCAGCATCAGCATCATCATCAGCAGCATCAACATCATCGTCATCATCACCATCATCCTCATCAGCAGCAGCATCAGCATCTGCATCAGCAGCATCAGCAGCATCATCATCATTAGCATCAGTCTCCTCATCATCATCAGCAGCAGCATCATCATCACCATCATCCTCATCAACAATCATAATCACAATCATAAGCATAATCAGAATCAACATCATCATAAGCAGCAGCATCATCATCGTCATCATCGCCAACACCATCATCATCATCATCATCATCATCATCATCATCATCATCATCATCATCATCATCGTCATCATCACAGCCGGGGACTTTCCGCAAGCAGCTCGATACCTTGTGCGTCGTGCAAGGCGTCACGGGAGGGATCAGGGGGAGGGGGGGGAGAGGGGGGAGAGGAGAGAAAGGGGGGAGGGTTGTGTGGACGGAGGGCGGGGGAAGGAGGGAGGGGACGCAGGGTGGGGGGGGAGGGGGGGAGGGTTATGGGGAGGGAGGGAAGGAGGGAGGGAGGTGAGGAGGGAGGGAGGGAAGGAGGGAATGAGGAAGGGAAAGGAAGGAGAGTCGAATCACAATACTCGGAGCGCCCTGGATCGGCGGCACGGACCGGAGGCCATGACAATACGGCTATGTCTCCGACTACGAGCGTCGCGGCTGATGAAGACGCCATTGAGGGCATCTGAGCTGGGGCACTTTGAAAAGATTGTGCGGCGGCTGTCTCTGAGTGGGTACTACTAAGTAGAGGTACGTGCTCCGCCGAGCCCGATCCCACTAAATCTGCAGCGTGCCCCCCCCCCCTCCCGACCGACCGCGCGGAGGCGCCGCGGCAAAGATGAGGCTGACGGGCCTAAAGAGAGTAATGCCAGGCCTGGCCTCGCATTGCAAAGCAAACCTGAAGCCGACCATCCGCCCGAGGGAGCCCACTCTTGGATTGCACTGCAGCTGCGTGGGGCCGACCGCTCTGACCACTGTACCCATGGCCATCTCGGCTGGCATATCCGTCGTCCTGCGGTCGGCGATGCTCTGGTCGAGGGCGTGGTGGAGCCCAGACAGTAAGGGGTGCTGCTTCGGCGGGCAAGCAGTTAGCCTCCGACGGACTCAATACGCACGAACATCGAATTCTGCTGCGCATCAGTATCGTGCCGTGCATATGCACCAGGTGCTGCCGACCTCAGGTTGCGTTTCTACAGCTTCGAGGCGGCCAGTCTTCAGCATGGCATCTGGAGGCAGCAGGCGCTGCGTCCTGCTAGGTCAAGGCGCACTAGGGATCTTCGTGCGCGGCAGATTCCGCACCCCGCTCAGACGCCATTGAACGCAGGTCGAACAACGCGCCGACATCAGCGCTCGGCGGATTGTTGGACCCTGTTTCTTCTATCCAAGCAACGTCTGCGATCAAGCGCGTTGTGATATCTTCCAACATAATGGTATGTTGCTTGAGCACGGCCGTTCACACAAGCCTTGCTACGCACGGAAGGCCCGCAGCTCGTCTTGGAAAGGAAGCTTCTCATCGATCGCATGCTGGGGGGTCGCCAGCGCTGGCTTCGGACTGATCACCTGCCGCAATAGTGTTCTGCAAAAACCTAAGTGCCCTCCCTGTGTAATCATTGCTTACCTCCGTAGGCACACGCGAACGAGCATCTGGCGACATCTCACGCAAGCAGACGTCGACGGCGAAATTGTACTACGGGAAAGAGCCGTCAAACGCGTGGCACACAATACGGGCGAGGACGCCTTGTCAAAGGTGGCATGTCGCTCCAGCTGTGCGAGGCACGCCCAGGCTCGGACAAGCTGCGAGGGTGCGCGAAGATCCACCACATGGGCATCTGCCTGTAAACATCGGCCTCCCGCTGCATCAAAGCACCACTGGCCGCCACAACAATGCACAGCTGGCTGGCACTCTGCCAGACGCGCCCACAGCCTGCGACATGGCGCTCTCGTCGGAAACCTAGAATCGCGGACCCCAGAGCATCAGGCATGGGCGCATGGGATGTCGGTAAACACCCCCCCGACCTGCGAGCCGCAGCGCCTGACCCAGACTGGGGGGGAACGATCCTCTGCTGGTCGCTCCTGGCCGTTTTTGCGTTGCGGGGCCACGTCGCAGCGCAGAGAGAAAGAGGAACTGGAGCAGGAGGAGAACAACGAGGAGGCGAGACCACGAGGAGGGGCGTGCGTCCCTGGCCTGGCCCTCCCGCACACTCCTGGGGGACGGCCTAGCTCATCCGGCGAACCGCGCAGCACGGCCAAATGCCGCCATGCGAGCGCGCCCCAGGCTGGCCCTCGTCAAAGGCAGAGAAGAGGGGGGGAGGAGGGGGAGGAGGAGGAGGAGGGGGAGGAGGAGGAGGAGGAGGAGGAGGAGGAGGAGGAGGAGGAGGAGGAGGGGGATGAGGAGGAGGAAAAGAAAAAAGAAAAGGACAGGAAAAGGAAAAGGAAAAAGAAAAAGAAAAGGAAAGGAACAAAAATGGACACGGACGAGGGAGGGGAGCGACAGGGGCAGCGCACAGCAAGCAGGCACGACTGGGCGGACGGGGGACGGGCGGGCGCTGTCGTCGGCGGCTCGTGGCCGGCGATTGCATGGCGTTCGTCGGTCAGGGCCCATGGGCGGGCAGGGGGGGCGGGCGGGGCGGGGAGCGTCGGAGGAAGCAGGGTGGCCGCGCACGCGGCGTCCGCCGCCCGAGCCGCTGTCGCCGCGGGCAGCCTGGCTGCGGGCGCCCCGCGCGGCGCCTGCCGTCTGCGGAGCACGGCCCGCGCATCCTCCTTGTGCGCACGAAGGAGAAGCGAGGGTCGCTGGGCGTGCTCCGCCGCCACGAGGGCTGAGCCCCCCCTGGGATGCACAAAGACGTACTAGTACTATATGTCATCCTTGGACGCGCGCGTCCGACCCGAACATATAGTATACCCATCTTGTAGTATATCGTTTCCCGAGCGGTGTGGCCAGAATGCGCCCGCCACAACGCATATACTATAAGATTCCTCGGTGCGCGCGTCGCCCCTGGGAGGGCGACGCACATATAGTATAAGTATGTTGGGGTGTGGCCCCCCTGTGGCGTCTGCCGCGCGTCGCCCACACTGCCAACGCGCGGCGCGCCTCCCTGCCCCAAGCGCCGCCGTGCGCCTCCATCACCGTGAGACGACGGTGGCGCCGGCCGCGCTGCAGAGTCGCGCCGTCCCGAGACAGTGGCGCTGCTGTTCTCGCAGCGCTCTGCGGCGGCGCCGGGCGCGGCGGCCGAGGCTGCCGGGAGGTCTCGCCCCGCAGCCTGGAGGCGACTGCGAAGTCTTGGGCGCCCGGTGCTCCGTCGCGGCCTCAGAAAAATAGGTGCTCAGACGGATCTTGATGATCAAGGAATTTCCCCACGTGAGAGGTTTGTCAGGCGAGGTAACTACTTTGCTGACTCCAGCGCCAAGAGATCTGTCCAGTGGCACCCTGCGCTCTCACAGTCGGAGATGGAACGCATTGGTCGCAAAGTTTCAATTGCCAGGGCTGGTATGGATGTCGTTGCCGCCGTCCTCCCTCTCTTTCCTCGGGTGGATTTTTTTGGGGTGGAACGTGTTCCTCCTCCCCCTGTTTCCTTCGCCTCAAGGAGGGGGCCGCACAGGTGGCAGTGGATGTCAAGTGTTTGGCGATGCGCGGTGTGCTTGCGAGGAGCGGCCTGCTCGGACCGCCCCGCAGGAGGTGCATGCCAAGGCCATTATAGACTGGATCATGTTGTTTTGGATTGGCCCCAACACATTGATTTCGCCCGAAATATCAGATCACTCGCACCTTTTCTTTTGCTTGAATTGCCGCTCGCATTCGTCAGGGTCCCATGTCTGTAACATTGGGAGAATCTGTAAATCCCCGACGAAGACAGGCAACAGGAACTGGAACATAATTCGCCAGGGTAAGCACCCAGACAATAATGGTGTGTTTCTGGACCTGGACCTTGTGAAACTCCGGTCCCAAGGGTAATTTAGTTTTGTCCGCTGCAGTTCAGCTTCCTTCTGCAGAGAGGTTCGAGGTGCCAGCTAAGGAGGCGCAGGAAAAGCAGAAGGAGGCGCACCAGGAAAAGCAACAGGAAATTTCCTCCAGCCCCCACCCTGGGAGCCATGGTGGCAGCAATACTTGTCTTCAGGAAAACACTTTTATACACACAGCAATGCCAATGTACACCACAAAAGCCGTCTGCACCGCAACGCCTATGATTATTGACACTACAGCTGCTGTTTCAGCACCCCTCCGCATGCACCACACTGCCTGCATGTTCCACACAATTTGCGTAACCTCCACGGTCCCGACGCAGCTGCAGTCCGGACAATTGGTGGGGGCCCGAGTATATCATATCCAATATTATGATATGATTGTGATTATTGTTTTCTGGCCCGAGGAACGTTTGGACATTGTGAGCCCACAGCAAATTTGAAAAACAACGCCTATGTGCACGGAAATGAAAAGGGAGGAGGAGGAAGAAGTGCGAAGATATGCATGGGCATGTGTACACCCTGCGAAATGCTTAAGAAATCATGGGTTAAGAAATTCAAAGTCTCAGAACTTGAATAAAAACCTAAAGTTCCCATTCAAATCTTAGGATTTACATTGAAACACTAAGAATAATCGAGACTCTGGCCGAAAATTTAAGTTTTCTTAAGCATCGCCTAAGGTGTACACCACAATGCTTGCGTACACCCTTTATGCCTGCGTACACCACGGCTGCTGCTGCAACGACACATGCGTGCGCCAGAACGCCCGTGCACACCGTGCTGCTTGCGTGCACCATAGTGCACGCCCGCGTGCACAACAGACCCTGGGCTGCCCGGGATCGCGCGTTGGATCGGGACCGGGGCGTTACCGCTACGGGGGGGTAACATGCGTCATCCCTTGAGTGGCTTAAAAACTGGTCTCCAGCAGGTCACATGCCAGGGATGGCTTAAGGCAAAGGTGCCACGGAGAAGAAGAGGACGCAAAGGAGGGATAGGAAGAAAGTGATGGAATGTGATACGATGGCAGGTGACAGCAACCTGAGACGAGCTCACCTTGTGAAGATTGTCCGTATGTAGACTCGTGTAGGCGATCTTAGCCCTCCCGTAACGCAACAAAAACCCCTATGGGGGCTTAGCTCGGCCTTTCCGTCACGACTGCATAAGCATGAAAACCTATCTGGACTGGACGTCAGAAAACCCGTGCTGGACAGCATGGGACCGCGCTGGACACATCAGGCCCAGCGTACGTGCGTGACTTATGAAACTGAACTTGTCCTGAGCCTGCACTGACTCGCATTCCGCAGGCTGCCCTGGCCGTTCGCTTACCTGGTCAGATGCGGGACTTGGGGAGCAGCAGTGACGGACAGGACAGGAGAGGATGCAGCGCTGCGGGTGGTCCCGCGCCGGTGCCCCTGGACGGCAGTCGGGCTCGCTACACGAAAACAACAGCAACAACAAAATGCGTAGCGCTGGCGGGGCCATCCGGTCATGCGAACACTCCCAGGTGTCCAATCCTGCAGCTTGGTGTACCAGCGCCCGTCTTCGCATTGCTGGAATCGGCATCGCAACTGGCGTGTTCTATCCTGCTGTTGGTCGCCCCAGCTGCTGCATCCAACTCGCCTGAAATTCAGACCAGAATCATGAGCAGGAGCAGGAGGAAGGTGAGCAGGAGGAGGAGGGGGGGATTCAATGATGAGGGAAAGGAAGAGAAGAAGGATGAGAGGGAGGGGGAGGAAGGCAAAAACAATAATGAGGAGCAACGACAGCGACAGGGCCGCGGAACCGTGCGAACTCCCGACGGCCCTCCGATCGAACTTGGCGCGGCCCCCATTTGAACACGAGATGGTGGGCCCATCACCCCTTCTCCTTCTCCTCCTCCTCGTCCTCGTCGTCGTCCTCCTCCTCCTCCTCTTCCTCCTCCTCCTCCTCCTCTTCCTCCTCCTTCGCCTCCTCCTCCTCCTCCTCCTCCTCCTCCTCCTCCTCCTCCTCCTCCTCCTCCCGCTACGGCTGCAATGACGTTATTCGGTGATCCAGGCTCAAGACCCCATGCCACCCCCCCCTCCCCCTCCTTCACATGGTTCCCCCCTCCCACTCCTCTTCCCAACGATTACCAATCCACCCCGTCCCCATCCTCCCCCTCTTCGTTTTCACGCTGGGCAGACGCAGGCTGGCGTGAGCCGTCGCGTCAGCCCCTCCACCTCCTCCTCCTCCTCCTCATCCTCCTCCTCCTCCTCCTCCTCCTCCTCCTCCTCCTTTTCCTCCTCCTCCTCTTCCCCTCCTCCTCCTCCTCCTCCTCCTCCTCCCTCTTCCTCCTTCGCCTCCTCCTCCTCCTCTCCTCCTCTCCTTCCTCCCCTCCTCCTCCTCCTCCTCCTCCTCCTCCTCCTCCTCCTCCTCCTCTCCTCCTCCTCCTCCTCCTCCTCCTCCTCCTCTTCCTCCTCTTCCTCCTCCTTCTCCTCCTCCTCCTCCTGCTCCTCCTCCTCCTTCCCTCCTCCTCCTCCTCCTCCTCCTCCTCCTCCTCCTCCTCCTCCTCTCCTCCTCCTCCTCCTCCTCCTCCTCCCTCCTCCTCCTCCTCCTCCTCCCGTTCCTCCCTCCTTCCTCTCCTCATCCTCCTCCTCCTCCTCCTCCTCCTCCTCCTCCTCCTCCTCCTCCTCCTCCTCCTCCTCCTCCTCCTCCTCCTCCTCGTCCTCCTCGTCCACCTCGTCCCCTTCCGCCATTCCTCATGCTCGTCCCCCCGTTGTCGCTCTCCCCCTCCACCGGGCTTCCTGGAGCCTCCTGCCACTGTTACTGGCAAGCGCATCAGCAGGAGGACTGCCAAGCGCGCGGCCAGCTCGCCGGACAGCACCTCCCCCCTGCACACGTCGCATTGGCCGTGCTGCGCCTGCCGAGGCCCAGCGCTCCCCGCCAGCAGCCGCCCCGCAAAAGGGGGGGTCGAAGAGGCAGCCGGGCCGATTTCACCTGGCTGCGGTCCAGACCTGCCCCCCGCCTGCCAATTCGCCGGATACCATCTCCAGCCCTCCAGGACGGCCCTCTCTGGACGGGCCCACAGCAAAAAGTTCCCGAGACGTGCCGAGCCCCTTTTCTCCATGCGAGGCGACTTTTCATATGAACGCTCCATACAAAAGAACACATCGCGAGATGTGCACGATCTTCACAGCCCTGCACTCCGCCGTGTTTCCCAAGAGCCACAAAAGTGGTTAATGTGCACGGTTCGCAGCTCTCGGCAAAACTGCGTGGTCTCGCAGTCATCCGCGCGGTCCCGCACTCCGCCGCGCCTCCCAGGAGCCCACGAAAGAAGCGACAGTTGCGAAGCTGGCAGACCCCGGGGGAGCAGAGCGCATGGGATGCTGGAGGTAGTAGGAGGAAGAGATCCTCTGATCCTATGATCCTCGACCGCGAGGTCCTGTTGATAGGCAGGCCGCATCAACCACATAAGGAGAAGGAGGAGGAGGAGCACAGCGTATCAAATAGGGCTCGCCAGCAACTCAAGCCCCTGAAGAGGGAGGTGGGGGTTGAGATCCTCCCTCAACTACAATCTGACACGCGTCAGACAGAGCCAGGAGATGAAGATCGATCGGCGACTGCGTGGACAATGGGGGAGGAGGACCAGGAGAGACAGCTCAGGGCAGCAGCGCAGAAGGCTCGAGAGAAGAGGAAGATGAGAGGGGAAGCGCGTAGCCTGGCGGCGGCGGCGGCTGCGGGGAGGATCGCGCCTCGCACGGCACTTTTTCTGGGATTCGGAGGCCACGACCCCCACTTCGTGGTCGAGGTGGGACGCCAGTATTTCAATCGGGGACAGGGAGCAGGGAAGAACAGAGTCGGGCACAAGAGGGAAAATATCAGGGGACAAAAAGGGAGGGGACAAGGGAGAGACCTTCCTCATCAAACCATCCTCACAGCCCGAACGTGACGCGCTTGACCATCTCAACGAGCCTGTCCCACGCCATGCTCCACATCACGCATTCCAGCCCTTCCAGAAGAGGTGCCAACAAACCCAGAAGCAACACCATTCCCAAGATATGAAAGTGTAGGAAGCTCAAGCACACCATCAGCATCACTATCCTTGAAGGGCACTTCGAAGCCTTGGAGCTTGGACAGCAATGAGCGAAGTCCGACACCTCCGCTCTCATGCATACCAAACAGTTCAACATCTGTGATCGTCTCAGTGTCCATAATACTGCCGCGATCATACGTAGATATTTCACCATATCGAGGCACAGGCACATGCCATAGTTCGGAAGAACATCCAGATCTAGAAGCATTGAGAACACCAGCACCACCAGAAATAACTGCTCCACCCAGCGAATATTCACCAGCTGGACATGTCAAGCCCATCCGCCCATGCTTCTTCACATCACACATATCACGAGAGGGTTGGAGGATATGCCGCCGTTTCGGCATCCATCCAAAGGTAGCCAGCAAGGTAGACGACGTCGACGAACTCGAGCGGGAGACAGGCGGGGCGAGCCTCAGACTCGGCGAGCGCCGCGAGGATGACGAACGCCGCAGAAGGCGAAGCCTTTCCAGAGACCTCAACTCCACCACCGAACCCATTCATCGCCCCGTGCGCACATTCCGCATCCTGCCAGGTACCCCAGCGCACACAACGCCCCATCTGAACTGCGCTCACGCATTACAATACGCCAGGGGATAACACCAGGAGGCGCGACCCAGGAAGAGATTGACGGAGAGGGTTTTGCTAATCTAATAGATCTAGCCGCCGCTTCAACAACAGACATCAACCTCTTCGACCCAACTTGCGACACGCGTTGGGGATCATGCCACGCGCCGAAGGCAACAATAATATCCATATTCGTTTCACGCGTGTAACATTCAAGCATAACCGTTCTGGAAAGGAATACACTGGCACTTATACCAAGAGGTTTAGGTACAGCAGACAAGAGATGCCCCCATACCAACTCGTGGATCTGCCAAACAGGAGAAACTACGCAACCAAATATGCAAGCCCCCCCCCCACACTCATAAGATCACCCGCAATTGGCCCACCATCCAGCGAGCCACGCCTTGGGAACAGCCATCGCCCAGCTCACAGGACAGCATTTACACGAACTGCGCATAGAATCCCGGTGCACAGTATGAAGAACAGAGGGACATCGCCACAAAAAACTTGTCGGGCCTCTTCGCGATCAGCAAAGTCGCAGGCGCCTGCCTGGCCGCTCCCCCGGCGCTATATCTATCTGCAGGCGGCGCGCCGCGGGCCAGGGCGTCGACCGTGAATCGGCGCCCCATCACCAATAGCCCCCACACGGTAGCCGAGCAGTTGCGAGCCACGCGGGAAACAGCTCTTGCCCGCAGCAACATCCGCAGAACAATCGAAACAATAGCGCGTCTTCCACGAGACACACGAGTAACATGCGGGGCGCCTGCGAGCGCCCAAGCGACGCCATCGAGCGGGGCCCCATCATGCCCGCCGATCACCAGCGACCCCCACCAACGTTGCGCACGCGAGTGTCACACAAGTGCTGCGCGAGCAAAAGCGGCAGGACATACAAGAGTGAGCAGGGCTAGCACCACGCCGCCCCACCCCGAGAGCAGCCCCCATCTAGGCCCCAAGAGCATGCCAAGCGGAAGAAAAAAGACCTCTCCAAGAACAACCACATCAAGCATGCGCGCGCACTGAGGAAGAGGAACCAGCTGCGCAACGTAGGACAAGGCCGAGGCAACAAGCGCACGAAGCAGCACACTGTCAACGCTAAGAGGGGCACGTGTAGAGCCAAGCAGCCTACCTCGGTTATGATCTCAAACGGAGCCTCCCCCCCACATCATGTCTCTTGCGATCACAGGCCCCAGCAGCACCCCCATGTAGACGAACGGCGGGGCGATATCAAACAAGTCCCATTTCGGAACAGACTTCCCAGAGCACCCACGCACGCGCTGCGCCATCTCTTGAGTCAGTGTGACATGCAGCGGGGCAACCTTACATTTGGCATGCTTATGATGAAGCGCGGCAATCTTCTCAGCCACCAACATCACGCGATACAATATAGATATACGTTGGTCATCAAACAAGATAGCCCCAATATCATCAGCACAGGCTCAGGCAAGCCCGCGAAGTTTAGATTCAAGACGAAGGTCCATATCAACCAAGAACGGAACCGTCGCGAGTGCATAGAACTACCCAGAGAACCCACAAACCTAGAGAAACCCAGATCTCACCCAACAGATATGCCAGAGATGACCGCGATAAGACACATCACCATTATGGAGGGCACAGCCATTGGAAAAACCGGCAGGAAGACGAAGTCGGGCAAGGAGACATAGTAATTAGGTAATCCTGGGACAAGCTCGGGAAGGCCTGACCATCACCTAACGACGCTGGGAGAAGTGGCCGATCCGATGCCGGAGGGCGAGCTGACGCGAGGCGGCCATTTCCATATACTGACGATAAGTTCAACACCGGCGCCACGCAGACCAGGCACGCGAATCTTCTCCACAGCCCTAATGCACCCACCACCAACACCATCCTCATCCTCAACACCTCAGGGAAGAAATGCTCGCAGAGTGACGCTGGCAGACGCGAACGAAGCCCGCCCCCTGAGAACCCACTCGAGCGCCAGCATGAGCACCCCAGAGCAGCGCGGAGAGGCCACCCACGCAGCATAAGGAAGCCCCTGCGAATCCGAGACAAAGTGGGCGGCGCCCAGACGAGGCCCTCGGGGGCCTTCAGGAACTTGTCGACGCATTCAACCGCTGGCCGTTCGTGGGGCCCCGATCCGATCCGGCTCCTCCTCATGAGTACGACGGCCTTCGCGAACGGCTTTGAGAAAAAGCCTGTTAGAGAATGGTGCCCAGATCCCAGCTGCACGTTCAAGCTGTCGTTGAAGTTTCCGAGACGATGAAGACGAGGGAGGCAAGGAAGCAGAAGCCGACCGGATGCTGTCGGAGTGCCCCATGTGGACACCCCCCGTCCATGCGTGGAACGCTTCAGGATGACGAAGCCGCACTTAGCGGTCTTCAGCTTACAGGAAATCAGAAGCCCACACACTGGTCGCAATGGGCCTCTCCGCCAGTACAGTGTCATTCCGCTATGCAGCGCGCGCACAGCTGCGCACCACCGTGAGCTCCACCTCGGAGCTCGTGGGGGCAGTGACAGAGAGCTCGTCGCGGACCTCCCTGGCGGCCTCCAGCATTCATCTCCTGTAACCGTTCGAGATCTGCCGGAGCCGAGATCCGTCGCGAATCACGCCTTCAAGACGCAGCTGAAACCGAGGAGAGAGAGAGAGAGATAGAGAGAAAAAAAAAAAAAAAAAAAAAAAAAAAAAAAAAAAAAAAAAAAAAAAAAAAAATGACGAGAACCACGTTGATGCACTCGAGACTTGGGAGGGCGAGAACAAAGCGAATTAGCCACAGCTGCATGATCAGAGATGCCCTTCTCCGCGAGAATCTCTGGGTCATCCACTGTTGTTGATCCAGCATGCATCTGACACATCATCCACCCTTGCGCAAACAAGAAAAACCTACCCAAACAGCTCACAGAGTTCTCGTGCGTGGGCAAGAGCGTCGGAGCCACCAAGGCGATCTCCATCAGACTGTCGGGACACATCATCCACTTCGCCGCCTTTGCTCGATGATTGCGAGGGCCACTGACTCTAGACGAGCACGCTGCTTTAGTACGATGCAGAACGAGAGCTTCATCAACATCAAAAACTCATATCAACCTGCACCACCACCACAAATTCATCAGGATAGGGAGTTTGCACGTGCCGTCGAAGAAGATATCTCAGCACATATAAGACCGACTTCCACCGAAGACAGTCCATGATGATGTATATTGAAACGAGCCAGCTACCACTACCAAAATTGCCCCGCCAGAGACGAGAGAGGTAACCACGCTGGTGACACGCATAGCAAGCTGCGGGAGAATGTTAGCACCCCCACCTCTACCAGGGACGTGAGCAGGAGGAACGCCGCCAAAAGAGTAAACCCTCTTCAACATCACCAACACAGAAAATGTAGTGCACAACAGCCTTGCTACACACCTTAGCGATGAAGAGTTCGAGCTGCGTGCCATCCTGATGGGCCTCCTGCAGGGCCAGAATCCCCGGGATGTGTCTAGCCGTTCCACATACTGCTTCTTGATAGTTGCCTTCGTGCTACGATACTGTAAAAGGGCGCGAGCATTCCACGGCGTGAACCGAACTCATATGTCCGAACGCCGCACATGGTAGCACAAACAAATCAGCAAAACCATCAAGGAGACCACTTCGTCGGAGCTGGAGGAGACAAGGCCTCAGGCGCGATCTTGTTGACGGCACTGCGCGTGAGCTGCATGTCTGTGGTACCCTCATCGTTGGGAGAAATCTCGAATGGTTCATCACCAGGCATGGTTCCGATGCGGACAATACTGGCCCACACGGCCTTGCCAACACCGCGCTCCCGGTCAGAGCACCAACGATAATCAGGAAAGAATCCGAAAGCATCGAACAAAGACGCTTGAGTGCCATCTCCGTCTTGATCCGCTTGGGGTTTTATCGAGACCAAGGAAGACACGGCCTTTGATACGGCCTTGCACCACCACCTCAAAGACTCTCCACTCATCGTTGCGGCGCAGGTTGGCCAAACCCTTGCTAACCTTCCTCTGCGCCAGCCCCGCAGCACCCTTGAACTCAACCACTAACCGACGAGCAGGCAACGGAGTGGAAGCCTTGATATTGAACTCAGAAGACTCGAACCTGAGCTCTGCGAGATAAGGCTCGATCGTGTCGCGCGTCGCCTGCAATCCACACACCTGAGTAGACATAGCAGCCACCACCATCGGGTCCTGCTCGCGGTCCAAGGACGGGGGCGTCATTGGCTGCCGCTCAACACAAGAAACATGAAGCATATCAGCACGTAACTCTGCCAACTGCGCGTGAATCCCCTCAATATGCTTAGCCTCGGCCGCACCATCTTCCTGAACTTGTGCCACCGGGCCACCGAGAGCATCGAATTGAACTTGAATGCGACGGTCGAGTTGATTGATCTGGGGGCAAAGCACAAGCATGACACCCTGATCAACGGACTTGGGGCGCTCCTCCAGCTTCCGCCGCACTCTGCCGAGGGCAACCAGCATCGTACGATCAGACTCCTCCAGCGACGCCGCCAAAGAAGACTGAACCAGATTTGGGAACTGCACCTTGACCGCATCGAAGTTAGAAGCAACACCAGAAGCAACCAGGGAACGAATATAGTAATCAGGATACTGCTGGGGAGGAACAGGGCCCTTGCCAGTCCAACCCATAGAGTGGTCGTCACCCTTGCGGTGTTACTTGTGTTCAGGAGCACCACAATCCCGAGGAGAACCAGCGACGGACGCAGCGTCCTGCGAGGGGAACGTGTTCGCATCATCGGTGGACTGCAGGGCCTGCAGGACATCGGCATCGGCGGGCGAGAGGACTGTATGAGACATTGCCCAGCTGGAGCGCGCGGCCTGGACGCTGGTGGACGGGCGAGCGCGGGAGCTTCTCTGCTGGAAGCGAAGGGACATTGAGCAAGGCCCCTCGGCTGCGGACAAGCTCAACCACCAGGGCCAAGCGGTTGAACTTGAGCCAAAATGGCTACAGAGGAGGAGGAGGAGGAGGAGGAGGAGGAGGAGGAGGAGGAGGAGGAGGAGGAGGAGTAGGAGGACGAGACCCTTGGAGACCACAGTGCCATGTTCAAAACGAGAATCCAACACACAGGAGGGTTGGAAAACAAAACCTGGCATCTTGAAAAGTCACCCCACCAGAAAACCATTCAAGACCATGCGCAAAACTGCCTGATTCCACAGCGCATCAAGGGAGATGTTAGTATGCCTCAGCGCCGTACGGACTAAACCTCATGAATTCTGAACCTCATGATTTCTGATGCAGCATTCCACCTCCTCCTCCTCCTCCTCCTCCTCCTCCTCCGCCTCCTCATCCTCATCCTCATCCTCATCCTCCTCCTCCTCATCATCATCAGCAGCAGCAGCATCATCAGCATCACCACCGTACCCGTCATCATCAGCAGCAGCAGCGCAATCCGCATCATCATCGCCATCCTATCCTCATCCTCACCCTTACCCTCACCCTCAGCATCATCATCATCAGCAGCAGCAGCAACAGCATCAACATCAGCATCACCATCAAAACCATCATCAGCATCAGCATCATCAGAAGCAGCATCAGCATCATCATTATCATCACCACCAGCATCATCATCAGCAGCAGCATTATCACCACCACCACCATCAGCATCAGCATCAGCATCAGCATCATCAAAAACAACATCAGCCACCACAACAACAAAAAAGGCATCAGCAGCAGCACCAACATCATGATCAGCATGACCATCATTACCATCAGCATCATCAGCATCAATATCAAACTCGTCATCATCAGCAGCAGCAGCATCCGCATCATCAGCAGCAGCAGCATCATCCTCATCATCAGCACCACCAGCAGCAGCATCGTCAGCATCAGCATCATCAGCAGCAGCATCAGCATCATCGTCATCAGCATCCATGCGCAGAGGGACGGTGCGAGGTCCAGACCGACGCCCACCGTGGGAGGGGAAGCCCACGCAGCGGGACGGCGCGCAAAAAACTCGCGCACACACACGCACGCACGCACGCACGCACGCACACACACACACACACACACAAACAAACACACACACACACACACAAACAAACAAACAAACAAACCGCGCGCCTAGCTCAAAAAGTCCCCCGCAGTTGCGGACAAAAGGCGCGGGGGCTGGATGCAATTCAATACAGACAGCCCGCTGCAGGCGCCGATCTTGGCTTCGAACGCAGTGTGATGGGGCGGCCCGCCGCAGGCGCCGATCTAGCTTGAGCGATGCAATGTTGGGGGTGGGCCACGGCGCGGTCGCGTCGCGGGTGGGTTACTGGTTACTTCCCCGTGCAATTTCTATTGCCATTGCCGGTAGCCCTCTCTACGGCTGCAGGGAAGGCGGTCGCACTGCGCCATCCGCTGGGAGCGGGTCGGGTCAAAGGAGCAGCACACCCCGCAGCAGGCCCCTCGTCCAGCGAGAGAGCCTCCATCCTTTCTTCTCCTCCCTTCTCTCACCTCCTCCTCTCCCTCCTCCTCCTCCCCCTCCTCCCCCTCCTCCTCCCCCTCCTCCTCAGACTCCACCCTCCCCTGCTGCTGCTCCTCTCTTTCCACCCCCCTCTCCTCTTGTCCTCCCTCGTCGCGAGAAAGGCCCGCGCCTTCTGTGGCCTTGCCTCGTGGCCCCCAGGACACCCAGGGCCCTTCGGCGGCTGGTCAGACCCGTTCTGCTGCTCGACGCCACCTCGGCTGGAGACGACGACAACGAACAAGACGACGCGGATGATGACGACAGCGATAACGTCAACAACCACGGCGACGGCGACGGCGGCGCCGGCGACAGCGACGGCGACAGTGACGGTGACCAGGAGGCCACGACAACGAGAGCGATGAGGATGGCAAGGGGGAGGTGAAGGGAAAAGTGAGGAGGGGGAGGAGAAGGAGGAGAATGAGGACGACGGCGACGAGGGGAGCGTACAGAACGAGAATGAGAACGAGGAGGAAGGAGGGAGCAGAGAGAACGGATTAGGTAAGAGGAGAGAAGAAAGAAGAAAGAGGAAACAGAGAAGATAAAAGATTGAAAAGGGAAAGAGGGAATAAGGAGGAGAGACGAGGAACGAGCACCAGGACCAGGACGAGGAAGAGGTTGTGGAGAAGGATGAGGAACGCGAACCCTGCTGAGCCACCAACTCGCATGGGCACGACGAAAGAGTCAGCTGGACGAAGTGCTGGGACAAAGAAAGCGCTACGTAAGCTTATCGCAAAATGAAGCAGACGATGAGCGGTGATCCCGCCTACGGAAAGATTGCATTCGTCCTGTTTGGATCCGTTCGAGGTGCGGTGTCGCGGAGCCACGTGGAATCTATGGCGCACGCGCCAGTCGGACTGCGGCTGACTATGGGCGGTTTTGACAGAAAACCTGGCCGACGACGCACGCATGTCCTTTCCGCGCCAATTGCCACACTTCATAATGTGAAGAGACGGTGTTGGGTCGCAGTGCGATTCTCGCCCGCACAGCATGCCATCTGGGCACAGCAGATGGCATGCACGACTCTAGGCGAGTGAAATGTCCAGAACAAACACGCGCGGCACAGGTTTGTCCACGTGGGTACAAGGTTAAACATTGCGGCCATGTCAAGGACGAAGCAGGTACGAGCTGGCCGAATCCCGCTTCACAAGGAGGACGAGGTCCAAAACTATCCTGCGCAGAGTCGCGAGTGGAGGCTTTAGATTCTCCTCACGAACCAGCCTTCCCTCGTGTGCTCCTTGGGGCAACTACTGAGTCTTTACAAATAAGTAGTGCCGCCCTGCTCGGTAGGCATTCTGTAGAAGTGAAACCCCGTCTCTACGGTCTCAACAGCTTCGTTTCGGATGAAAGGGACCACTGCACTGAAAAAGTCAATCAGTGCGGCATGATCCCAAGCAGGAGCCTCGCCAGAACGAGCCGAACGGAGTCACTCCAGCTGACCCTGTTGGTCGCCTCGCAGGCTTGTTGGACGGCCGAAAAGGGCATTTTCATAATGTTTCTTCTTTACATATATATAAATATATATATGTGTGTATATATTATAAAAACAAAAAATACGTACCCACAGACACACACACACACACACACACGCGCGCGCGCGCACAGACACACCCACACACAGAGAGAGAGACACACACACACACATACACACGCGCACACACACACACACACACACACACGCGCGCGCGCGCACGCACGCACGCACGCACACACACACACACACACACACACACACACACACACACGCACGCACACACACACACTCACACCACAACCACAACCACCACCACCACCACCAAACACAACAAAAACAACAACAATAATAACAACACCAACAACAAAAACGACGACAACAACAACGACAACGACAACGCAGCAGCAACAACCACCACCCCCACCACAACAACAACCACCACCACCACCACCACGACAACAACTACAACAACCATCATGTTTAAAGTGTTCGCTCCGATCGTTCCACGTGCCAGTCAACACGTATATCCCAAACCCTTGGTACCCGCCCTCTCCGTCTTCGAGCGTACCCCCTTTGGCGCATATCTTCTTTACCTGCCACGTGCATTTAGCACAGCCACTAAAACAAGGGAAAAGAGGACGGGTGGAAAGGGGAGAGTGAAGGATGGAGCACGAGAGGGAGTAGCAGGAGGGGGGCTAGGAGCAGAAGCACGTGGCATAACCAAACGGGCAGATCGGGCAGGCAGACCCTAGCGGGCAGGCCGGGAAGGCGGGCCCAGGCGGCCAGGTCGAGCAGGCGGGATGCTGAAGCGTGAGTCCTGCATGAGTCGCGAGGAAGTCTCGAGCGATTGCGCGAGTCCGAAGTAAACCATGAGAAACGCCAAAGCGAGAGCGTGAGTCCTGAGTGTCGAGGGCGCGGCGCCAGAATAAATCGCGAGGAAGTCCCACTCGGAAGTGCGCTCTCTGCATAAATTGTCAGGAAGTCCGCGCGAGAGCGCGATTTTGCAAAAATGTGTGGGGAAATATCAGGCAGGAGCCGTTGTCGTTACATCAAGGAGGGCAACAGCAGTTTGAGCGGGAAGACCCCCCCTTACAAAAACACAGTGCGTGCCTCGAGTGGCGCACTTCAACTGAAAAGCACGATGTGCACCCGTGGGGTGGGATCAACAACAGTTATTATTCAAGAGTGAGCTCGACAACAACAACAACAACAACAATCACTTTACCCGAACGCTCAGTGTTCTCACCAGTGCCAGGGTTTTCATGCGACGCCAGCCAATACCCCCACTTTGTGGGGGGCCAGTGCAAGCTCTACCAAATATCCACACGACTCTTCGCCACCACCCACACCCAGTTTCCCGCCCTATGACGTTCGGACACTTCACTTCGTGGCCTGCGGACGACCGTGGCTACTACACTGGCGTGGAGTACACACCCACAGAAGTTGTTAAGCCTACGTTCGTACACCCACACCTACGTTCGTACACCCTTGCCCACAGAGCGTGCGAAAGTAGCTCGCGCGAGCTCATGTAACATAAATGTTGGGAAACCATTGTTTTTTTTTTTAGGATTCGGACAGCGCGCGCGGGTGGAAATTTTGAAAAGTCGTGCAGCTGTTTTTCGAGGACCTACGGTGCGATTCGTGTGATTTTATGATGCGCGGTGCTAAAATTCTTAAGAACCCAATGGTTTTTGGAGATTTCGGCGTGCGCGCGCGAAGAAAAAACGAATGTGTCCCGCATGGTATTATTTGACAGGGATGATGGCCCTGGCAGGTGCGCAACCGTTGTCGCAGAAGTTCGAAAAAGTTGCTCGCAAAAGCCCGTTTGACAGAAATGTTTAAAAAGTGTTGGGTTTCCTACGAATCCGCAAGAGCGCGCGGGATGAGATTTTGACATTTTTTTGTTGAAAAACCATTGGTTTTTTGATGTTTTTATGTTAAAATCGCTCCGAACACACTAAGCTTTTGGAAGGATTTCGTCTTGCGCGCGCGAATGTCCACTTTACCTTATTTTTTGCAAGGGATTCTTGAAATTTGATTATATTAGAACAAGAAATGTCATTTTATAGTGTTTTTTGCAAGGGAAAGCGGGGGGGAACAAAACAACCGGATCTTGATCACATCGAATTACCTGAGGCTTCCTCACGAAAATGATGAAAATGTAGCTGCGGCCTAGGCGGCGCAGGGGGGCCGTGCACCAGGGGTCCCAACAATAATTATTCTTTAGAATTAATAATGTTCAACAACAACAACAACAACAACAACAACAACAACAACAACAACAACAACAACAACAACACGAACAGCAACAATCACAACATCAACAACGACAACGACAACGACAACAACAACAACAACAACAACAACAACAACAACAACAACAGCAACAACAGCAACAACAACAGCAGCAACAACAAGCAGTTTAAGACAGTTCGCTCTTACCTGCTCGCGTGCCATCCAACACGTATATCCCAAACCCTCGATGCCCGCCCTCTTCGTCTTCGATCGCACCCCTTAAGAATGTATATGGCTTACCTGCAACGTGTATTTCGTGCAGCACCTGAGGTAGGGCAAGAGAGGACGAGTGGAAGGAAGGGACAAGGGGCAGGCGGGTTGCCGAAGTGTGCGCCCTGCATGAACCGCGAAGAAATATCAGGCGACAGCGCGATCCCCAAGTAAACCGTCAGATAATCCACAGCGAAAACGTGATTCCTGAGTGTCGAGGGCACGGCGCATAGATAAATTGCGAGGAAGCCCCACGCGAGAGCGCGACTCCTGTATAATTTGTGCGGACGTCCCGCGCGAGAGCGCGATGTGGGAAGTAGTTGTGAGAAAATACAAGACGGCAGACGCTGATGATGTAGAAGGGGCAGCAGGGGCACAGTTTGATGGTGCCTCACTGTCTCGTGTAAACAACTGGGTGCGAGCCCCGGGAGAAGCACGTGTATATATAGATATATAAACATATAGACATATATATATATATATATATATAGATGTAAAGGTTCCGGAGGGGGGGGGCAGCACAAATGATTCTTTAAAAACTGAAACTTCAACAACTCCAACGACAACAACAACGACAACAACACCAGCAGCAACAGCAGAAACAACAACAGCAACAGCAAGCACAGCAGCAACAACAACCACAGCATCAGCAGCAGCAACAGCAGCAACAACGACAATCATTTTAAGACTGCTCGCTGTTATCTGCTCGCGGGCAATTCAACACGTATATCCTACACTCTCGATGCCCGCCCTCTTCATCGTCGATCGTACCCCCCTTGGGGGTATGTATATATACGTCTTACCTACAACGTGTATTCCTTCCACCTCCGAAAGCAGGGGATAAGAGGACGGATGGGAGACAGGGACAAGGGGGAGGGAGGAGGATGGAGCACGAGAGGGAGTAGCAGGAGGGGGGCTAGGAGAAGAAACACGTGGCAAAACCAAACGGGCAATTCGGGAGGGTGGACCCTAGCGGGCGGGTCGGAAAGGCGGGCCCAGGCGGCCAGGTCGAGCAAGCGGGTTGCTGAAGCGTGAGTCCAGCATGGATCGCGAGGAAGTCTCGAGCGATAGCGCGCGATTCCCAAATAAATCATGAGAAAGGCCAAAGCGAGAGCGTGAGTCCTGAGTGTCGAGGGCGCGGCGTCTGAATAGACTGCGAGGACGTCCCACGCGAGAGCGCGATTCCTGCATTATTGTGAGGAAGTCCCGCGCGAGAGCGCTACATTGAGATACATGT